ATTGGCAATGTTTAGGGGGACTTTGGGAACTCTGTCAAAGGCTTTCAGCATATAAGTCTGAGGTCTCAGATCATGTCTTTTTGCCTTTTCTAATAAGTAGGGATTAGTGTGAGGGGATTAGAATCCCTTCTAATAAAAAGAGATTAGGAATTAGGTGTAGGAAACATACTGTGGACTGGATTTAGCTCCTAATAAATAGCTGATGAGTTCTTCCCAACTATTGAGATCTACTCTTTATGCATGAATTTGAACTGGGATCTCCTATTTGTGTTCTAAAGTTAGGAATTTTATATAATTTATAAATAACTTGTGATTTTGATTTTCTGATATTTTGATTTTTTTTTTCTTGATTTTCTGAAATTTTCCGTTTCTCACCTTTTTCAATGATTTTGAACTTTTTATTGATATCCAGTTTCATCTAAAATCTGCTCAAGTTAAGGAATCTAGAACTAGCAGAAACAGAACTTTGTAAAAATAGCTTAATTTAAGAGGTATATTTGATGACTGCAGTAAAGAAATTATAGAAGGAGATATTAAAAAAACAAACAAACTTACCTTGACATGGATATGGATGAAACTCTAGAAATTCAGGAAATCTATAGAAAAAAGGTTTGGGCAACATGAACAAGAATATTGCTACAAAATATACTTGTAAAAGTCACATATTTCAAGACTAAAGAGCAATACTGAAATCAAAAAGAAACTAAAGTGCTTTAAAACTTAGAAATACAATGATTGAGAGTCTACCAGATGTATCCCCAGATATATTTAGGAAGAGAATTCTGAGATTTTTGACAACTGTCCTTCAGTACAAAAAACATGAGGCTTTATCCATAACAGGACAGGAATAAAGACCAAGAACAGACAGAAGAACAAAAACTGGACCAAGCAGGTGGTTCTTCTTCATAAATTAATATAAGAATCATCATGATTCAAATTAAAATATTTTCAACCAATATTGATAGGCTAAATAATCAATTTAAAAAGGAAAAAATATGAAAAAGGGCATATTATATGTTTGCAAGAGACACATATTAAAATGATCATGTCAACTTCTTGGACTGTAAACATCTTTGTTTCCAGAATTAATGTCAGAACTGGCAAGACACCAGAGGGAGTTTTGACCATCAGCACCTTCGTCTTGCTGATTTTCTGTTTCAGATTATTTCATTCTATCTAGCTCCTCACAACCTTCAGGCACCAGCTAAGGACCTTCACCACATCTCCTGCTTGGTCCAGGATAGAAATATACAACTGAGTATAATCAAATATTGATGATCCCTCACCACTGGATAACCTCCCTCAGCAATTTCATATAAATGTTAAAAAGAAGGGAGCAAATCCTTGGTACCCTACACAGCAGCAGCCAACAGTTGTAGCTCTGCTCATTCACCAGCATCACAAAGCAGGAACCATCATTCGGGAAGCAATGGAATAATTGAAGAACAGTGCCACCCCTTCACTACCCTAACAGACGATCCAGAAGGATATCATAGTTGATAGTATCAAACATGACTGAAAGGCCTAAAAGGATCAGGAAAGCTACATTGCCTTCATCCAGGTTCTGGCATAGGTCATTGTCTAGAGGAACTCATGGGGTTTCTCTCCCATGCCCAGATCTCAATCCTGATAGAAGAGAGTCCAGATAATCTGCTTCCTCTGGGGATTTCTGCTTTTGATGCCCCCCTCACAGAAGTTATCTGAGTTGGCTGGATCAAGAGATTGTTTCTTCTACCACTACCTCCTCCAAAGCAGCCAGTACTGATCTCTCTCCCAAAGAAGAATTGACCCAGCCACATACATTCCTGCTTGCTACTCAAAGAGACCAGGTTGGAGGTGTGGCAGAGCTCATACTGCAGTGGACCTTACGTGCTTCCTCAGAGTTCCATAAGCTGAAACAAATCCCATGTGACTTCACAAACAAGCTACCACAGCCAGCAAACTCCACTCCCTGATGCACTGATGATGTTACCTAGCCTGGTAATGAAATGTCTGCAGAAAGATAAGTAAGCTCAAATAACACCAAGAACCCAACATGTCTGTCAAAATCTTTCCAGGTTGAGTCCAAACCCAAGTGAATGTGAGTGATTTTATCAACAAAGTATTTGGAAAGCATGTCACAACAGTACCTGCCAGGAGATCATCCTGCCCATCCCTTTTCAACATGGAGCAGTCCAGCAGCATTGCCACTGATAGAGCAAAAGCAGAGAAACACTGCTTCTTTGCCAGGTCTACCACCAAATAGGCACCATCACCTGTGATTGTCATATTTACTCCTCATCTTTCTCCACTAGCATTCTAAGCATTTCTTCTTCTGCGTCATCTTCTGGAAATCCTCAGTAAACCCAGGAGCATCCCAAGATCAGTGAACAGAGGAAGGCTGCTTCTAAGGATCAGTCACATCCAGTGCTCAAGCTGCTCTGAATTACAGCGATGCAGTATTGGCTGCCAGATCACTGAGGAAAACTTCAAACATTTGCAGAAAACCCACTGGATCTGTAAGCTGTCTGAGGTGGACCATCCTCGCAGAGGTTGTAGAAGGCAATGAGGCTGATATTGACCAGGAAGTAACATAATCATGGCAAAGGACTAATAATAATATTCTCCGTCAACAGATCAAAAGATGACTGTCCTGAATTAAAAGCAAGGGCATAATGTGTATTATTCACATTCTTTTATAACTGGAAAATGAAATGAGATTTGTCTGAAATGAAACCATTTAACAGTGAAATTGCTTAATGCTTTCCATGTGCTTAAGAATAAATTCCTGGGGTTAATTAATTTACATACTTTTTCCTTCCTGCTTAGCATAAATGTTATTCTAAATTAGCATCTCAGTTTATCACTGAACATACTGAATAAGATTAATGGAAAATAGTTAAATGGTTCTCCAAGAAATAAACTAGATAAGCTTTTTAAAATCAAGTTTGAGTTTCTTTTCTGGTTTGCTAACTGCACATGTTATTGAAAGAGATTGAAGGCATGATAAAATTGATTAAAATCTTCTGGTTGCATGAATCAATCACAGGTAATTAATTGGAATGCCAATTTTAGACCATTACAAATACTGAGGATAATTAATGTCATGATTTATTGTTTGGAAAATCCTATTTTAAAAACTCTTGTGGACCCTGTTTCTGAAAATGCATGTATGTTTAAATGGAGATGTATAATTGGCTTGGAGGTAAATAGTTGAATAAATAATTTATGTAGTATATTTGTAAGTTGTTCAGCTCAGACACCTTACAGACCCAGTGGGTTTCCTGCAAGTGCTTGGGGATTTCCATACCATCTCTTTAATAACATGTGATATATTCCCAGATATGGAAATATCTATTGCAAGTTATATTCTTTGTTTCAGAACATGAGCTATAAGGGCTTTAAAGTGCTGCTAAATCATACTGTAGCTAACACCCTGTGCTTTTTTCTCCTGCAGGTGTCCTAGCCTTCTTTTTCTTCACACACAGGATACCAGCATTTACACAAGAAGCACCATCACTGAATTACTATTGGGTCCCGCTCTTGGTAAGTTCACATTAGGATTTAAGAATCCAAGCCTGGTGTTGGCATTTGGCCTGGTGAGACAATTGTTGGGATTCATGCCTCCTCCCCAGAACGAACAGTACCACACCTAGATTTGTTTCGATTCTGGTTTATTTAAAACATCTTTGCTCAGCGCTGTCCAGATAAATTCTGTGGAAAGTTTCTGCAGCCACAATACTATCTCAGTCTCCACAGGATGGCTCTGGTTCATATTTTGGCAATATGAATTGCATGGATGGCGGGACCAAATTTGACTTGAGATTGATATTTGGATCCCAATTCATATTTCAGGCAGGTAGCATGGTGCTCTCCAGGTACTTTGGACTACATCTTCCAGCTTTACTTGCTATTGTCATATTGGCTAGGGCTAATGGACATTGGAACCCAAAACATATGGAGGTCCCAGGTTGTTTGCTTTGCTCTATTAGGTCTTTTGCACTTCCATTTAGATTTTTTAAAAAAGAAAGGAGGTCCATGACTATGTACTTTGTCTTTAAAGAAAGGTTTGGGAAAAGAGAAGAGGCAATGGATTACCGGCATACTATAGGTTGCAGCAGGTTCATATAACGCTAAAGGAAGATGTAACATGAGACTACTGTGCCCCATTCAGAAGGCTACTAATGGGATTTTACTTTCCTATTAACAGCCTTGCCAACTGTACCAGTTCTAGAAAATCTGGGGAAAAATCACTATTATTTTCTAAGTTTAAAGTCATGAACATCTTGGGAAAAGCTGTCATGGTAATGTAGATTTAACATGCTTTTCTTCTTTTCCAGACTGTCATTATAGGCTCTTATCTAGTTGCACATGGATTCTTCAGTGTCTATGCAATGTGTGTTGATACACTTTTCCTCTGTTTTTGTAAGTAATCAGCCTTTTGTGATTTATTTCCTCTTTCAGTAGTGCTTAGATAAAGGACTGCTAAGTCACCTTCCTAACAGAATTCATGAATATGTTGGAGGGATATGTATAGGCAATCACATGTCAGATGTGATTTCATTGGTCAGCTAATGAAATATTACTATTGCTAATTACTATCATGACTTTTTTGAGGAACTGCTCCATAATAATTACTAACAGGTTGCCACTAAGTATTTTATAGATTCATTTTGTCCAGCAGCATTTCATTTACAGTAGATGAGTGTTATGTGTTCTTGCTAATAACATCCTTGCTGTTTTAATAACGACACCAGCGTTGGTTGAATTTAAAATAACATGTTTCCCCTTCTGCATCTAGATTGTCTTTAAAAGAGTTGGAAGCGTATTATATTTAACAAGGGAGCATGAATTACTTACTGTTCCCACATTAGTCTGTGCTCTAAATGCAAGCAAGATTAGCCATCCTTATGAAATTATAAAGATAAAAGTGCCTTTCAGCATGCTAGCCAGGGAAATCCTGCCTGCTGTTGAGAAAGCACTGAAGACAGAACTTTAGAGAAATGATCCAGTGCTCAATAAATAATTATGATTCCCATGTTCCCCCCTCCCAGTCTTTTGGTTATAGATCAATCACTGGAGAGCTTGACCTTTATGTGACCTATAGTTGCATGGGAACTGTAGTCCTATTCTTCTAGGTTTCCACTTTGCCACAATGTCTTTTTTTTTTTTTTAATCATCCAACTTTATTAACATTCAAAATTTTATCTTATAATTTCAGTTAATTTACCATTAGGCTCCCCCTCCCCCCACCGCTGCCCAAGGCTACTGTGGAGTACAGTATTGGTATGTTATGTGCTTCACTACCAAGCATAAATTAACCATTCTTAAGCTGTTGCATGGACAGAAAATATGGATCATAGCATGTCTCACTCCAGCTTGGCTATGACTTATATAGTGTTGATCTGAAATTGTGTATATCAATGCTTTTGTGATATTCTGCAATGGCACAACACTGAAATTCAGCTCTACTGTTGTCGGAATTCTAATCATTCTTTTCCTCCCTTTCTTCTGAATCTCTCCTTTGTTTTTGTTTGGCTGCATGATTGCTTTTGCTTTGGCTCTTTTTGACCACTTCGTATTCAGGTGAAGATTTGGAAAGGAATGATGGATCTACAGCAAAACCCTACTACATGTCAGCTAGTCTGCACCGAATTTTGGGGAAGAAGGAACTGAGTCCAAAAAAGTTAATGGGATAATGCTCAAAATGGCAACAGTGTTAGTTTCAAGGAAGGAAAACAATTAAAAAGCAGGATGCGTATAATTTAGACAAAAGATTTTTTTAAGTATGATGCTTCTGGTTAATAAATCATTTGTGTTGCTTTGTACTATCTAAAAATAAGCAAACGGGCAACATTTTAAAGATGTCTTTTAACAGCTGTGAAACAAGGTCACATCATAGTTTTTATAGAGTGCCTATGGGTAAGTGTAAATGTGAAGCTTCTTTTTTTTATCTTTAGCTCTTAGTGTTTTAATAACTTTTCTAACCTGAGATTTTGCTGTTTGAAATGACAGCCATTTTGATAACTTTTTTTATAGGTGTATATTTGTAAAGGATATTCAGGCAATTTTTCGAAGCACTACAATGAATCCTAATTAGCCATAAACAAATCAAGATTATTGGTAACCAGCAGGTGGTCCTAAATTTGTAAGGATGGTGCTATGGCTGTATTTTTACTGTACGTGCTGGTTGACAGCTATTTAAACTGTGACTAAAATATACTAATGGTTCCCTATGAAAAAGGGCACATTGCTAAGTCAGTTTCCTCCTAAAAATGGTGTATGCTGAGATGGAGATAAATTGGGATCCTGCTGATTTATCTCAAAAAAGATAATGAAGGGTAAAGATTTTTAAAATATCTTCAGTATTTTTTTTAAAAAAAACGATTATGCCAATATCTATGTTTAGTTTCAAAAAAATTTAAGTCAAGCAATAGCCTCTGCTCGTCATCAGATGCAATATTTATGAGTGCAGTTGCAAAATATTATTAGTGATACTGGTTAAGAGTGCCATGATTTAGTCTGTGCTATGTAAACATTTTTTCCTACATGAAATATCCATAAAATAAAATGCAATACTATTTTTTTCTATGGAAGAAATCCTTCTAGACTAACTCAGTCTTCCCTAACCTGGTCTTCTGGAGATTTGTTGGAACTTCTGTTCCAGAATTCCCCACCAGCCCAGTCTTTGGTCAATGCATCTTTTGAAGGTGCCAGGTTGGAGAAGGCTGATCTGGTTCTAAAAGCCCCAGTTCATTAGCGTTTCCTCATAAGTTTTCCTCCTTCTCTGCTGCTGCTAGACAAAGAAAAAGAATTAAGGATTGTTGCCTTTAGGTCCCGCTTGCACTATTTACATGAACATGTGATCATTTTTCATACAGACAGGAAAGAGAAGAGAGAGAGATGTAATATGAATGAGTATTCCTTTTAATTGAAGTAAGAACTGATCTTGAGTCTCATACAAAAAGACCTAATGAGTAAATATCAAAAATTAGTATTCTGCATCATAAAACAGAACATGCTCTAGAATTTTACCTGCAAAGAAAAATGCAATTTTCTTATTCAGATTTGGAATTTAAAAAGCAATTATACCATAATCCCATTTTATGTTAGTAAAAGCTGGGGAGAGAACATATCCTAAGGCAGGAGAGCTTCATCACAGTCATGGTGCTTACTTAGGAGTTGTCTCATGTGAACTTTTATTTCTGCTAAACATTAAAACAATAGATGGCCTTAGTTATGCTGTTGCTCCTGGGTCATGAGAGGCTTTGAAATTAATATGACATATTATATTTAAAAAAAAAACATGTCATGAATTCTATTATTCCATCATGATATAATCATCTATTGTTAAGTCAGGGGTAATTGGCTTCAATTCCAATTGAAGCTTGTGTCCAAATTTGCTTTGAGGATTCTACTTTTCCTCTAACTTGTTGCACAAGTGCCAGGCTTACCATTCAAAAATTGGACTCTCCAAAATTAATTCAAATGAACTTCCTAGTTCTACATTAGGCTGGACTTGGTTTTAAGATAATGGGGGAGTCCAACAGGTACTGCAGTTGATTTGTATTTAATTGGACTGATAGAGAATCCCTAGGTGTTTGTTTTTAGCATTTCTGCCCCTTCTGTTGCAAACAAGAAGGTTTTCCTGGAAGCCCATTCTGTTAAAAGAAGAGACTTACTTCCAGATGAGAATATTTTTTGAGGAAGGTGCTTAAATCATTTATATTCCAAAGGAACTGAGAGAACTACCAATCTGAAATAAATTATGTATATGCACTCAGCTGAATGTCCATTTTGGTGAGTAGATGTATTTTTTCACCAGACAAATATAATTCATCCCGATTTCCACTCAGTCAGCTTTACTGGAGGAGGGACTATTTCGCTAATTCTACCTACTTAAGCAAAAACTGTTCTGGAAGGTTGGGGAACTCTCTGAGACAACAAGAGAGATGCAGGAGGAACCAGGAACTGCTGAGAATCATTTGCCCTTCCTTCCTCAGCAGGAGACTCCAGAAGTTTCTGCCTTCCCCAGTGGAATGGTCCCTTCCATTTAGAGGCAGGCAACTCTGGGTCCCATCTGTATTACTAAAACTCAGAGCAAATTGGTTTCCCTGGATGCAGATGTCCCAGTCAAAAGATGCATAGAGCCTCCTCACTAGAGCAATCACTGAGCAGTTGAGTATAAGCAGACATCTACTGGGAATGCCTCTAAAAGGCAACTTTTATCCATGGAGGAGAGTACTCCTCAACACATAGAGCTGGTTTCCGATTTAATCATATTTAATTCATCATCAAAGAAACTTAAGTTTTCCAGTTGTGATCCCTGCTCAAACATTTAACAATGGCAATATGTGAACACAGCTAGTGTGTTGCCCACATAGTATTAATATCTTGAGATATATAATAAGCAAAACCACTGGCTTAGTCATTGCTATGTAAGTCCTTGCATGTTAAATCTTAGGATTAGTCTTAAATGTTGTCAACTGAGATAAATTCATGATATTCATTTCAAAAACAGCAAGTCTACGCTTGAAGTCACAATGCAACCCAGAGTAAGGTGTCCCTAATACTAGATTGTTTCTAGATTATTAGAACTGATTCTAATAATTATTAGAACAGGGATGACAACTGGAAAACATGGCTTGTTGTTGTCTCAATGATTACAACAGGGGCTTAGCAATCAATCCAAAGAACCTAACATAAAGGAGGAAAAGCAAACTAAGAATTTGCCAAAGAAGCCACAGTTACTTTTTTCACATGCAACCTTTATTCTGGCTTGTTTTTTATTTAACAAGCCATGGTTAAAATAAACTGTGATTTAATATGATGTGTGAGCGCAGCCGGTAGGCTGTACTTGAACAAGTAAACCCAGTGTGAAAGGTAATGGACAAATGCCCTCAAGGGAAACATTCTAGAGTCGTCTTATTAATTAAGCAACTGAAAAACTGTGAAAATGCTAAGCAATAGCACTGAAATTTGGTTGCCATTCAGTCCTTTGAAATGTTCAATAATGGCAAAGTATACATCCGATAGACAAAATTCCTGAATATCTTTCTCAGAAATGAATGAGCATTAATGTGCAAACTAAGTAATAATTTATTTTTGAAAGGCAAATAGCTTTGAACTTTGACTGATGTGTTTCTTAATCCTTGGGACAAACCCTGCTGTTTGTTATAGTGTCCGTTTTATGCATATAGTGCTTTAACATAAAGCTAAAGCTTGATAAAATGCACTTCCTTGCTTTAGAGAAGTCATAATACTAGACAAATCATTTCTTGATGAGATGATAATTTTGAAATAGGCTTGGATCCTGCACTCATTCTAGTCAATGGCAAGGCAAAGGCCTTCTTGATTGAACTGGTGCAGCGTCTGGCCCATCTGATTCTAAAGGGCTGATTATATTATTGCGCCAGTGTTTACAGTATGATAAATGCCAAAACATCCCACATGTAATATAGATTGCAAGGCGTTTGCTGTTGTGCACAAAAGGGCCAGCAGATGGAAGTATTGGATTGGTTTGATTTTTTGCTGTCTGCCTTTCTTCCTCCTAGTGGAAGATTTAGAAAGTCAGGATGGTTCTACTGAAAGACCTTATTACATGAGTAAATCTCTGCTGAAGATTCTGAACAAGCATAACGTGCAAAGCAAGAGACATTAGGAAAGATCGGTTGTCCTGACCACACCATTGCATTGGGTCTGGTGCATTGTTTCTGCAATACATTGTCAGCTTTTACTCGTGCAAGTTTTATACCAAAGCTATTGTCCCTGTGAAACCATCCAAGTTTGTCCTGACACCAGTTTTAAAATGCCAGGGGATAGGGGAAGTATGAGAGATTTTTTTCCCTTCTCTCTCTCTTTTTCTCTCTCGCTGTGGCTTGGATGTTTTGGAGTGAAAGAGTATTAAAATGTTGGCTGTTGTTTTTCTTTATTTTTCTTCTTTAAAAAAGAGGTATGAAATGTTTTACTGTTGCAAATTTTGTTCTAGGTGAGTAAACAGATTTTTGAAAACCAAGTTAAGAGTTTCCAAGGAAGGAAAACTGTAAATGTCCTTTTCAATATATATGGTCAAAGAATATGTAAATGTCTCTTGACTGCATTTAAAGTCTTGTCACTTTCCTAGCCTGTACAGCTATGTGCTCCATAACAAAGTGCCTTACTGGCTATTGGTATCAACTAGCTTATGTTCCGAAGTTTACAAGCACCATTTGAACCATAAATTACCATTGCTTGAAATGATAAACAAAAATCTCTTTCAGTTTACTTGAAAGTATGGGAACAAGTTTGGTTGTTTTATCCTTTTGCGAATGATGTAAAATCTGTATTTTTCCCACCACCATCTGCTCCAAAAGCAAAGCAGTGGGCAATACTGCATTTAGAGGGGCGAGTTTTTCAGCATAGCTATATCCAGCTTGAATTATGTTTCACGAAACTGAGTCTCTGCTGCCCTTCCACTTCAACATGTGCTGTAACCCACATATAAACTGTTTTCTAGGGTATTCATCAAACTTCCTCAACCCAGGAGATCAGAAATAGGTCTGCCAACTTTTCAGCTAGCTGTTGTATCTATCTTTTGAACAACAGCTTGATCTGCCACAATGAACAGTAAATGTTTATTGTTATGCTAAGAAGTATTACCATATGATCCTGAATTTAAGACAGTCTTCCTCCCAAAAGAAGAACAGATTAGACAGGGAAAATTATAAAGAAAGAGAAACATCCAGAGCAATGCCCAGATCCTCATGCCACCTTTCCTCAGTGTATGCAGGGTGGCATCAGCCCCAAGACAAAGCAACCCAGGTTCCCCCACCCCGTCTCACAAAAGTGTGTTTGCACCTGTATATATACCTGCCAGAAGCCACATGTCAAAAAAGGACAGACCAAGATTAATTAAAAAACCAAATGAATGATTAACTACTGGTTACTGATTAACTACTTACATTATTAATTTCCTAAACACATCTTTCCCTAAATACGTCTACCCATTTCCCTTGGTCTCCCTCCCTTCCTTCCAGCAGAAACAGGAAACGAATCAAAATATAAGGGATATGAAGTGAGGGAAATGGGTAGATGCGTTAGGAATTACAAAAAGGCTGGAAAATCATTTGGCAACTCCTCCTCCTTCCAAATTATTGCTAATTATCCAAAGTGCTTGTGCTGTTCTGCAGTGATGCTCACAGTCATTTGCACCCTCTGCCCATTTCTTTGTTTTATTCACCAGCTTCGGAAGAACACTTCCTCCCTTTACAGGTTTGAGGGATCATGAAAGGGCGGTTCCACATACAGCTACAGGGATCAGCTGTGAAGTTGGCAGTTCTACAGACAAGCTCCCATGTGAATCCTGGGAGGAAAAGAAACGTTTTTCTTATTTGGCCTTGTATGTGTGATGCCTGTAGATATTTCTGCTTCCAGAGCTGATGAAATCCATTCAGAGGGGTGCAGCTGGAGCAGAGTAATGCTGCACCCTGAGCATTCATGTACATGCTCAGATTACCTTTCTGTTGGTTATCTGCACATGCACACCCAAACCATCACACCAGAGGCCCCCTCAAGCACAGGCAACACAGGTACCAAAGGGGGAGGACCTGCGTTGCAATGCGCAGTTGGCATCTTACTGAGCATTCCAAAAAGAAGAATCTTTTCAAGGAATGGAAGCTTGGAAGGGCATTCTGCAAAATAGTCCTCTGAACAGTATGACCCTTTTGGTAACAATTATTCTCAAGTTACAGGAATGAATGTTACACTAGCAGTGGCAATTGTGACTGGATAGCACTGCTTCTTAACCACAGGTGGTATGTGTGTGTCCCTTTGGTCTTACGTCTACCCTTGCTTTCATCAGGATAATTGTACCCCCCATTAATGTCAATCATGGTGCATAAATGCTACTCACAAAAGTTACAATAATAATATTGCAGTTTTACAAAAAGCATTTCTTAGGTCTAAAGGGACAACAGGGCATCTAACAGTGCAAACTTTACATGTTTACTCAGAAGTAAATCCCACTGAATTAAATGAGACTTAACTTCCAAGGACTACTGTACAAAGTGCTAGGCTAACACCTTAACATTTGTAATTCTTTCCATAGGTTTGTTTCCTACAGCAACCCCATTCTATTTGCTCAGAAGAAGGTGTTGCAGCCTTAGATGCAAAGCTTAGCTGAATTCGTTTGGTAGCAAATCCCATTGCTTCTGAGTAACTATGCCTAGGTTCATGGAATTAAGGGGAAATTCTGGCTCTATTAAAATCAGAGATACGCTCATTATCGCCCCTGGAATCAAGATATAATTTTTAGGGCTATTTGTACAAGGTCTTGTACTTCCATGCACTAATCAGCTAAGTCAGAATCACTTCATCAATCAGTCTATGATTTAAAGTCCTGCTTTGTAAAGTACAAGAAATTGGAACAAGGAGATGCATATAGTACACTAGTGTAAAGTATTTATTGCTTTGTTAACAAGTGTTAAAAGGCTATTTCATTTTTAAAATCCATCTAAAGATAAGATGTTATTTTAAAAAATGAGTTTTAATTTTCTAACTTTTGATAAATCTATTATTCCCCTTGTAAAATGTTAATTATTTACAGTTCATGATAATAAAAGAGAAACTTAATGTCCTCTTAGTTTCTGAGATGTATAATTAATACTTCCTTAAACAATCATTAATGCAGCCTGTGAAAAGGGGTCCATCACCATTTCAAATATGTACTCATAATTTGCATGGTAACAAATGAAAGACCTTGTCTGTTTCCCTGCTGATCACATTTCTACTTCAAATGTGACTTTTAGAGACTGTTTTTGTGCCCAAAGCAAATTAACTTGAGCACATGGCCGTCTGAACTTTAAAATCTATTTGCTTCTGCTGTGCAGAAATGTTAGAAACATATTGTTGAAAATATCTTTACAGAACTTAATATTTAACACAAGTTGTTGTTACTTATTGTTTAACAGCTCTTAAGATTTGTTCTAATAAAGGTTTAGATATAAAAGGATGGCTTTGCTTTTTTCTTCCTCTCTGAGTGTAATAGACTCAAATGATGTTTGTGTTCCTTCCCTACAGAGCCTGTTTGCACTACTTCACTGTACCACAAAATCGGTTTGCTTGGTTAATAAACACAGAGCACAGTCCCATTGATTTTAATAGGACTTCCTGCCTAATCTGTGTGTAGAACATGCCCTTTCATGCGTTGCTCATCTGTAATTCCTAATAGTTCTAGATAAGGTGTCAGAAAATTACAGCCAAAAGAGATGCAGCAACATGTGATGCATGATATCCATTTTACTTGCCCAATATAAAAACAATATGGAGAAGCTTTCAAATGATTCTCCACATAATAACCATTTGTAATAATCCTGAATGGTTTGTAGATCGAAAGGCAAGGATACCAAGCTTAGCAACATTTTTGTCTACCTAATCTTCCTTTTTACCTTCAGTTACAGCTGTTCTGAACTGCCAGGTTTTAATTTATTGCTACAGACTTTCAGCCAACCAATTTCCTTGTTTCCATTATGGTCTATAGGATCAGTTGAAAACTAGGTGCATCTTAAAATCCAGTGATGGATTTGTATGTAATTGGAAAGAATCAACTGAAAGCATTTTGAAAATTAAAATAGTAGGAGATTCAGATCTAGTTCAGTCTTGTTGATATAAGAGCAGATGATCATGATACTGTTCTTGGTGCTAAGATCCTATTTGGTTGCCACATTCACAAACCACTGTTATCTGGGGTTAACTGGTTCACATGATGCAGTGAACTAAATCACATTGGTTTGCAGGACATGAGGCTCAATGGGGTTGGCTAGTTTGTGATTTAGTATTCAGACAAGCACAGTCATAGTCAAATGAAAGAAAGGGTCAAAAGAACCACACTGTTCTTCATTTGCAATATCTATTTCTGAGTGGGAGAACTCTTGTTCATTCTGCAAAGCACATGGAATATGTCTAAGTACTAAAACACTATAAACAACATATGATACAAGTTTACAACAATATTCTATCATTTATAAATGAAAGCATTAATCATCTTGGACTAAGACAAAGAATGTATTCCAATCTAAAAGCTGAGATCGGGAAGGATTGTTGAGAGTCCAAGATCTTTAAAGTCTACCCTATATTTACAGAGTTGTTTTTAATTAAATCTGGATTTCTTAAACTGCTCCAGCATTCTTTTTGTATCATATGCAACGTGCCGTGGATTGGACTACAACCCTTGGTTATCCTTGATTATTGTGTCTTTGCACATTCCCAAGCCATAACTTATCACAAGCTGCTTGCTTTCTCATCTTTAAGGCATGCTCATAAATAGGCTTTTTGTGATTGATGGGTTTTCTGTAACACTTAGTTTTTCCTAACTTTTATTTTAGATTTAAATCCACCATTGGCTGAAGGCCACAGAAATCTTAATCCATCACCAGCTGAATTTTAAAACTGGGGCTCATTTTTTTTCTTGAATTGCATTTTAAATGTTCTGATAGCTAAACTTCATGGTAAGTTCATGACCTAGTCAGTTGTTTAAACATTGGTCTTCTTCATCTTCATTATGGTTAATTCATCCTTGAGGGAGGGGGGGTGTTTCTGGCTGCTTTTAAAGAGGCGCTGATGCACCCTCTTCTCAAGAATCAGTTGCTGGACTCCACCCTCTTGGACAATTT